TATTATACCTTACACAAAAAATAACTCAAGATAGATTAAAGCCTTAAATGTAAAACCCAAAACCATAAAAACTCTAGAAGCAAACCTAGGCAATGCCATTCAGGACATACACATGAGCAAAGACTTCATGACTAAAACACCAAAAGCAATGGCAACAAAAGCCAAATTAGACAAATGGAATCTAATTAAACTACAAAGCTTCCACACAGCAAAAGAAACTAGCATCAGAGTGAGCAGGCAACCTACAGAATGGGAGAAATTTTTTGCAAATTAGCCTATTTGACAAAGGGCTAATATCCAGAATCTACAAGGAACTTAAATTTACAAGAAAAAAACATCAAAAAGTGGGAGGAGGATATGAACAGACACTTCTCAAAAGACATTTATGTGGCCAAAAAACATATGAAAAAAAGCTCATCACCATGGGTCATTAGAGGAATGCAAATCAAAACCACAATGAGATACCATCTCACATCAGTTAGAATGGTGATTATTAAAAAATCAGAAAACAACAGCTGCTGGTGAGGCTGTGGAGAAATAGGAACACTTTTACACTGTTGGTGGAGTGCAAATTAGTTCAACCATTGTGGGACACAGTGTGGCGATTCCTCAAGGATCTAGAACCAGAAATACCATTTGACCCAGCAATCTCATTACTGGGTATATACACAAAGGATTATAAATCATTCTACTATAAAGGCACATGCACACGTATGTTTATTGAAGCACTATTCACAATAGCAAAGACTTGGAACCAGCCCAAATGCCCATCAATGATAGAATGGTTGAAGAAAGAGTGGCCTATATACACCATGAAATACTATGCAGCCATAAAAAAGAATGAGTTCATGTTCTTTGCAGGGACACGGATGAAACTGGAAACCACAATTCTCAGCAAACTAACACAAGAATAGAAAACCAAACACTGCATGTTCTCACTCATAAGCAGGAGTTGAACTATGACAACACATGGACAAAGGGAGTGGAACATCACACACTGGGGCCTGTCAGGAGATGGGGAGCTAGCGGAGGGATAGCATTAGGATAAATACCTAATGTAGATGATGAGTTGATGGGTGCAGCAAACCACCATGACATCACACACCAGAGCCTCTTGGGGCGTTGGGAGGGAAGGGGAGGGAGAACATTAGAACAAACACCTAATGCATGTGTGGCTTAAAGCCTAGATGATGGGTTGATAGGTGCAGCAAATCGCCATGGCAGGTGTATACCTATGTAACAAAACTGCACGTTCTGCACATGTATCCCAGAACTTAAAGTAAAAATTTTAAAAAGGATATTAGGTAAAAACTAAGGAAATCTGAACAAAGTATGGACTTTAGTTAGTGATATGTACCCATATGGTTCATAAATTGTAACAAATGTACCAGACTAATGTAAGATGCTAATAGTAGGGGAAACCAGGTATAGGGTCTATGGGAACTCCACTATATTTTCTACTTTTCTGTATATCTAAAACTGTTCTTAAAAATTTGTCTATTACAAATTATCTTTCTAAGAAAAATATAAATAATGGACTTTGTAATTATATTCTGAATTTTAATTTACTTCTCCATTTGAAGGATTTATACAGCTGGCCTTACTAATCTTGAAGAGTTGAAATAATGTAGGTTAAAATACTTGTTAACAGAAACCATCTAAATAAATATGAGAAATAAATATTAGAAAACATTATTAAAAGCAAAGATAGAATTTTTAAAGAATAATGACTAAGAAACCACTATATTATCTTGGTTCCTTTTGGGAATGATTAGATGACATTCTGTCCATCAGTGTCGTTCCAGGTAGGAATGACACATTCTTTATGTTCATGTGTACCTAGTGTTTAGCTCCCACTTAGAGGTGAGAACATGCAGTATTTAGTTTTCTGTTTCTGCATTAATTCCTTTAGGATAATGGCCTCTAGCTGGATAATTTTTGCTGCGAAGGACATGATTTCATTTTTCTATGGTTGCATAGAAGTCTAGGGTGTATATGTGCCACATTTTCTTCATCCAATCTGCCATTGATTGGCACCTGGGTTGATTCCATTTCTTTGCTATTGTGAATAATGCTGTGATGAATATATGTGTCTTTTTGGTAGAAAATTTACTTGCCTTTGGGTATATACCCAGTAATGGGATTGCTGGGTTGAATGTTAGCTCTGTTTTAAGTTCTTTGAGAAATCTCAAGACTAATCTCCACAGTGGCTAGACTAATTTATATTCCCACCAACAGTATGTAAGTGTTCCCTTTTTTCCACAGCCTAGTCAACATTTTTATTCTTTGACTTTTTAACAAAAGCCATACTGATTTGTGTGAGGTGGTATCTCATTGTGGTTTTGATTTACATTTCTCTGATGTTAAGTTATGAGCATTTTTTTCATGTTTGTTGGCTATATATATATCTTCTTTTAAGAAGTCTCTGTTCATGTCCTTTGCCTGCATTTTAATGGGGTTACCTTTTGCTTGTTGATTTGTTAAAGTTACTTTTGTTTCTTTCTTTTTTGGAAAGACAGGGTCTCACTCTACCACCCAGACTGGAGTGCAATAGCATGATCTTAGCTCACTGTATCCTTAAGTTCCTGGGCTCAAGGGCTCCTCCTGCTTTAGCCTACTGAGTAGCTGTGACTACAGGCACATGCCACTACGCCCAGCTGATTTTTTTCTTTTCTTTTTTGCTAGAGCCAGATTCTTGCTACATTACCAGAGCTAGTCTTTGACCCCTGGCTTCAAGCAATCTTCCAGTTTCAGCCACCCAAAGCGTGGGGATTACAGGCATAGCCACCACACCCAGCCTTTTACTTATAGATTCTGGATATAAGACTTTTGTTGGATACATAGTTTGCAAATAATTTCTGCCATTCTGTAGGTTGTCTGTCTACTAAATTGATAGTTTATTTTCCTGTGCACAAACTCGACGTAGGTCACACTTGTCAAGTTTTGTTTTTGTTGCAATTGCTTTTCAGGACTTAGCCATAAATTTTTTGCCAATGCTGATGGCAAAAGGGTATTTTCTTGTTTTGTTTTTTTCCCTAAGATTTTTATAGTTTTGGGTATTACAATTAAGTCTGTAGTCTATCTGGAATCAATTTTTGTGTATAGTGATGGGTTGGGGTCCAGCTTCATTCTTCTGCATATGGCTGGCCAGTTATCACCAGCACCATTTATTGACTAGGGAGTTTTTTCCCAATTTCTCCTTTTTGTTAACTTTGTCAAAAATCAGATGGTTATAGGTGTGTTACTTTATTTCAGAGTTTGCTGTTTTGTTCCATTGGTTTATGTGTTCATTTTTGTACCAATACTACGCTGTTTTGGCTACTGTAGCCTTGTAGTGTAGTTTGAAGTTGGGTAGTATAATGCCTCTGACTTTGATAGGAATAGCATTGATAGGAATAGCGTTGAATCTGTAAATTGCTTTGAGTAGTCTGGACATTTTAATGATATTAGTTCTCCTAATCCAGTGTATGCAATGTTTTTCCATTTATTTGCACCATCTCTGATTTCTCTTAGAAGTGTTTGTAGTTCTCTTTGTAGAGATCTTTCACCTCCTTGGTTAGCTGTATTCCTAGGTGTCTATTCTTTTTGTGTCTATTGCAAATGTAATTTCTTTATTTGGCTGTCATCTTGAACATTATTGATGTATAAAAGTGCTGTTGATTTTTGCAAATTGGTTTTGCATCCTGAAACTTCACTGAAGTCTTTTGTCAGGTCTAGGACCCTTTTGGTAGAACCTTTAGGGTTTTCTAGATATCAAATCATACTGTCAGCAGAGAGATAATTTGACTGCTTCTTTATCTATTTGAATGCATTTTATTTTTTTCTCTTGCCTGGTTGCTCTGGCTAGGACTTCCTGTACTATACTGAATAGGAGGACTGAGAGTAGGCATTCTTGTCTTGTTCTAGTTCTCAAGGGGAATGAGTCCAGCTTTTTCTCATTGAGCATGATGTTGGCTATGAGTTTGTCATAGGTGGCTCTTATTATTTTGATATGTTCCTTCGATGTTTAGTTTGTTGAGGGTTTTTAGCTTAAAGTGCTATTGGATTTTATTGAAAGCTGACTTTTCATCTATTGACATGATCATATGGTTTTGCTTTTAATTCTATTTATGTGGTCAATAACATTTATTTATTGTCTATGTTGAACCAATCTTGCATCCCAGGAATGAAACCTACTTGATTTTGAATTAACTTTTTGATATTCTGCTGGATTCAGCTTGCTAGTATTTTTGTTGAGGATTTTTACATTTATGTTCATCAGGGATATTGACTGATATTTTCTTTTTTCATTGTGTCTCTGCTGGATTTTGGCATCAGAACCAGAAAAACAACTTTTGCTTTTATTGATCCTTTGTGTGGATTTTCAAGTTTCAATTTTGCTTAGTTCTGTTTTGATTTTATTTATTTTCTTCGGCTAGCTTTGAGGTCTGCTCTTCTTTTTCTAGTTCCTCTAATTGTGATGCTAGAATTTTCACTTGAGATCTTTCTAATTTCTTGATGTAGGTGTTTAGCACTATAAACTTTCTTGTTAACAGCTTTAGCTGCAAAACATAGAGTCTGGAATCTTGTGTTTCTGTTTTCATTAATTTCTGCTTTAGCTTTGTTGTTTACCCAAAAGTCATTCAGGAGCAAGTTGTTTAATTTCCGTGTAATTGTGTGGTTTTGAGAGCTCTTCTTGGTAATGATTTCTATTTTTATTATTACACTGTGGGCCAAGAGTATGCTTGGTATGATTTTGGTATTTTTGAATTTATTGAGATTTGCTTTATGGCTGCAATTTCTCATGTATTCTGAGATTAATACCGTGTACTATACAGAAGGTGACATCATCACAGATCCAGGAAGAAATAAACACTTTCTGTTGATGTTTTGAAATCATGTCCGAAATGAGAAGGAAGCAGCTTGCGCCCTTGGATCCATGGTTCCGCCTGTGGCCTCCAGAGGGCGACGTTGCACAAGGGAAGCATCTGTTTTCATCGCCGCCATTCTCATCTACTGAGCCCCACCTCCCTGAAGCTGGCTGATGCAGCTCACTGATGTCTGTGTAGATAGGGAGTTGTGACGACAGCAAGAGGTCAGGACACATCCAGACTCCTCGAGGGAAGGCCTCTTTCTGTTTTTGAAACTTTTCAAAGCCAGAGACTTGTCCAGTCCAGTCTCCCCACTGCTCCCAACTCCTGATGCTCAGCGCCCTTGGCTTCTGTCCGGCCCTGCTCATGGTCCTGCGGGGTTGCCACTGCTCAGCCATGCTCCCGCTGCTCGTCGCAGTGCTCGAGATGATTTTTATCCTGGGTGAGTAACATTCCATTCTTTTTCCTTCCACAGAAGGAATTACAGAATCTAAATTGAGACACATTTTTTTTTATACTCACAAAGCATTGATGTTGCAGGAGGAACCAGAGCCCAGTCTGTGACCCAGCTTGACAGCCAAGTCCCTGTCTCTGAAGGAACCGCTGTGGAGCTGAGGTGCAACTACTCATTTTCTTTTTCACTGTCTCTCTTCTGGTATGTGCAATACCCCAACCAAGGACTCCAGCTTCTCCTGAAGTATGCATCAGGACCCACCCTGGTCAAAGGCATCAACGGTTTTGAGGCTGAATTTAAGAAGAATGAGACCTCCTTCCACTTGAGGAAACCCTCAGCCCATATAAGCGACGCGGCTGAGTACTTCTGTGCTGTGAATGCCACAGTGCCTGAGACTGCAGGAGAGCTGAACGCAAACCCCCTGAGATGCTGAGACTTTCTGTGACTAAAGAACTCAACCTGGGAACTTTTCAAGAAGCTATCTCTTTTTCTGTGCCCCTTTGAAGGCATATAGGGCGGGGTAGGCTGAATCCTTGAGAGTGTTTGTCTCCGGAATAATTGCTCCAATGTCAATGTCATGCCACATTCAAGATACACTTTGTCCCACAGGGAGGTTTACTGATGAATTTCTTCAGGAGGGACCTCCTCCACACTCTGAAGAAAGTACATCACAAGGTGTCAGAGCTCTGAAGTAAAAAGCAACAGCATTTTTATAACAAAATTATTTCTAGAATTCATTATGATTAGTATTGCCTCAGTATTAATGGTATAATCCGTGAATAATTGATGTGATTGATTAGAATGTTAGCTAAAAGCTGTGCAGGATAGATTCTCAATTAGGGCAACCCATACAGCACAGAGTCTCAATCAGCATACTGTAGATTCTCAACCTAGATTTGAACCTTAACTTCTAGCACATACATCATATCTCACTGTGAGGTATTGGCATATTTAAAGTAAATTAGACATAATATCAAGATTTTTAATCTTGTGAGCATTATGCAAAACAGGAAATTAAACATAAATCTAAGTAAAATATTGAAAAACTAAGCCACTAAGTCGTGATCCTTTTTGAAGCAACTATTCCAGTGATTTCCAGGTTACAAATTTGAGGAATAAAAATGTAACCAATAAAAAGATATCAAATACACTAGATTCAACTACTTTAAAACTTGAGGGATTTTATTTTAAGAGATTACACAAATTTATTATATAAAATTACACAACCAAAATTTCCAGTTACATTATCAGAGAGTACATTAATTCTAATAGGGGTATCCAAGACCAGGGTACACTATTATTTACTTGGAAATAATTATATCAAAGAAACCAACATGTTTAAGACATTTTATGTACGTGATTATGACTCAAAATTTTTATTTGTAGTTTGATCACATGGTAGAATTTAAAAATGCTTCCCAAAATACTATAAAATGTTCACACATTTTATTTTTAAGAAGCAAATGATTTTAGAATTTTTCTTGACAAAAATTATGAAATGAATCATCTTGCTTCTTAAAAATATTTTCAATGGTCTAAGTCTCCTCTTTTAAAATGAGATGAAGTGGTAATCTTCCCTTATTATAAAACATGTATTTAAAGTAGTTTAAAAATATTCCTATGAATTGAGTTAAAGAGGGTAGAAGTTTATAATCAAAGGTATTTAGACTTAGCTTCTTCTGTTGCACCAAACACTCAGGCTCTTGCTTTTTGGTTCCTTTGGCTGCTGACTTTCTTTAGTTACTTCTTAGAGTGCCACCTCTTCCAGTTTTACTTTTGTCTCCCTTCCCATTTTTGTTTGTAGTTTTTCTGACAGATTTGTCCTATTGTTGTGCCGTTTATAGCCCTTTCTTTTGATTATGTGTAAAATTGCAGGCCAAGAACACTTAACATGATGTCTATTTTAACAAAATTTTAAGTGTACAACTCAATTATTGGCACAATGTTGTATAGCAGATCTCTAGTAATTCTTCATCATATCTAGTGAAAACTTTATACCCCTTCATCAACATCGCCCCATTTCTTCTTCTCCCAGCCCCAAGAATGCCAACCACCATTCTACTCTCTACTTCTATTTGACTGTTTTAGTATCTCATATATAAGTGGAATCATGCAGGCCTTCTATGACTGGCTTATTTCACTTACCATCATGTCCTTAGAGTTAATCCATGTTGTTGCATGTGGCAGGATCTCCTTTTATAAAGGTTGAAGAATGTTCCATTTTATGCATGTATCACATTTTCTTTATTCATTCATCTATCAATAGATATTTAGATTGTTCCCACATTTTGGCTAATGTGAATAATGTTTCAGTGACCATGGGAGGGAAAATATTTCTTCAAAATCCTAAATTAAACTTTTTTGGATAAATAACCAGTAGTGGGATTGCTGAATCATCTGGTACTATTTTTAATTCTAGGGTGAAACTCCATACTGTTTTTCATAATTGCTGCACCATTTTGCAGCAGGGTTCCAACTTCTCCATATTCTTATCAACATGGTTGTTGTTGTTTTACAATAGCAAACTTAAAAGGTGAGAGGTAATAACTCATTGCGATATCTCATTTCTTTGATGATTAAGGATGCTGAGCACATTTTCATGTAACTTTGGACAATTTGTTTGTCTTCTCTGGAGAAACATCTACTTAAATCCTTTGCCAATGTTTCAATCAAGTTATTAAAACATTGATAGTTGTAGCAGTTCCCTATATAGTTTGAAGATTAACCCCTTATCAGACATATGGTTTGCAAATATTTCTTTCATTCCATATTTTGGCTTTTTTATATTGATTATTTTCTTTGATGGGAAGAATCTTTTAAATTTTGTAAAGTCCTGCTTACCTACTTTTGGTTTTGTTGCCAGTGCCTTTGGTGTCATATACAAGAATTGGCTGTTGCCTAGACCAGTTATGGAGAGTTTCCCATATATTTCTCCAATAGTTTTACAGTTTCAGGTTTTACATTTTTAATTAATATTGAATTGATCTTTGTGCATTTTGTTAGATAGGAGTCCAATTTCATTCTTTTGCAAGTGGTTATCCAGTTTCCACAGCACTATTAGTTGAAGAGACTACTGTTTCCCCATTGTGTATTCTTGATACCTTTGTCAAACATCAGTTGAGTGCATATGTGTGGGTCTACTTTTCAGCTCTCTATTTTGTTCCATTGGTTTGTATGTTTGTCTTTGTGATAATACTATGATGTTTTAATTACTGTAGCTTTGTAATATATTCTGAAATCAAAAAGTAGGGTGCCTTTAGCTTTGTTTTTTTTCCCTCAGGATTGTTTGAGCTGTTCTGGGCCCTTTGTGGTTCCATAGAAATTTTAGAATTAAAATTTTAGTTTTTCCTATTTCCACAAAAGTTTCATTGGGATTTTGCTAGGGATAGCGTTGTAGATTGTTTTGAGTAGTATAAACATCATAACAATATTAAAACTTCCAAGTAATGAACATAGATGATCTTTCATTTATTTGTGCCTTCTTTAATTTTTCTTGTCAATGTTTTGTAGTTTTCTGTGTACAAGCCTTCAGCCTAATTAGTTAAGTTTACTTCTAAACATTTTTTTTTAGCTATTATAAATGGGATTGTTTTCTTGATTTTTTAAAGGACATTTATTGTTAATGTGTAGAAATGGCACTGATTTTTGTGTGTTGCTGTTTATAGCCTACAACTTCACTGAATTCATTTATTATTTCTAATAGACTTCTTTTCTTTGGTGGAGTCTTCAGGGTTTTTAGTGAACTTATGTCATCTACAAACAGAAATAATTTTACTTCTTTTCTCATTTCAGTACCTTTAATATTTTTCTTGTCTATTTATTCTGGCTAGGATTCCTAGTACTATTCTGAATAGAAGTGGGGAGAGTGAAATCCCTATCTTGTTCTGATCTTAGAGGAAAGCTTTTTGTGTTTCACCATTGAGTGTGATGTTAGGTGTGGGCTTTTTATATATGGCCTTTATTATGTCGGAATAATTTCCTAATTCATTGGATATTTTTATCATGAAATGTGAAGCAGGTTCACTGTGCACTGGTTACCAATTTATCTGAGTCCAGTGAGACAGAACACCCATGTATATAACAAGGTACATGAAGTAGGTTTATTAATTACAGATAAGCAAGGGACAACAGAAGCGTAGGCTTCATTGCAAACAGGTCCCCCAAGCTCAGGAGAGCTGCCTAGGGTGGATGGAGTATCATCTGCATGTGGCCCAATTGTACCACACCTAAGGGACCCCAGAAATTAGCATGCACCTGGGTTTTAGACCCCTGGGTGATGTGACACCCTGGGCTAAAAAGCATTGAAGGACACTGTTTCTAGGGGGCAACTGAAATACAGTCAGCCGTTTCAGCCATTTCATTCCTGTCTGAAGATGTTACATTCCCAGTACATTCTACAGTTTTTCTTGAGAACTACAAACAAGAAAATGGAGAAAACTGGATTGGTCCAAGACCACATGGAGAACCATCCTACGTGAAAGGTTGTTGAATGTTGTCAGGTTCTTTTCCTGCGTCTATTGAGATGATCACGTAATTTTTACCCCTCATTTTGTTATGTATTATGCCACATTAATTCATTTGTGTATATTGAAACATTCTTGCATACCAGGGATAATTTCCACTTGGTCATTGTATACGATCCTATTAGTGAGCTATTGAATTTGGTTTGCTAGTATTTAATTGAGGATTTTTGCATCTATGTTCATCAGGAATATTGGCCTGTAATTTATCTTCTGTAGTGCTTTGTCTGGCTTTGGCATCAGGTTAATAATGGCTTCATAAAATAAGTTTGGAAGTATTCCCCCTCCTATTTTTTGTAAGAATTTAAGAATGATTACAGTTAATTCTTCTTTATTTGGTTGGTAGAACTCACTAGTGAAGCCATCAGGTCCTGTGCTTTTCTTTGTTAAGAAGTTTTGGATTGCTGAATCAATTTCCTTACTAGTTATAAATCTGTTAAGATTTTTCTATTTCTTCATGATTCAGTCTTGGTAGGTTATATGTATTTATAAACGTATGCATTTCTTCTAGGTTATCCAATTTGTTAGTGTATAATGTTTGTAATAGTCTCTTAAGATTCTTTTTATTTCTGCAGCATCTGTTTGTAATGTCTTCTTTTACAGTTTTAGTTTATTTGAATCTTATCTCTTCTTTTTCAGTCTAACTAAAAGATTGTCAATATAGCTTATGTTTTCAAAACTAAGTTTTATTTTTTCTATTTTTATACTCTATGTTTTATTTGTTTCTGCTCTAATATTTATTATTTTCTTCTTTTCACTAAATTTGGACTTCATTTGTTCTTTTTTTTCTAGCTCTTTGAGATGTTGTTTTTTGTTTGATATCTTTTTGAATTTAAGCATTTATTGCTATAAACTTCCCCATTAGTACTGCTTTTGCTGCATTCTATAAATTTAGATATGTTGCATTTTTGTGTTTATATCTCAAAACATTTTCTAATTTCCCTTTTGATTTTTTTGACCACTTTGTCGCTCAAGAATATGGTGTTTAATTTTCATTTTTTTGGAATTTTCTAGTTTTGCATCTGCTATTTATTTCTAGTGTTATTCCATTCTCATTAGAAAAAATATGTGGCATGATTTCACTTTCTTAAATTTGTTGAGACTTGTTTTGTGGCTGGGCATGGTGGCACATGCCTGTAATCTTAGCACGTTAGGAGGCTGAGGTGGGAAGATTGCTTGAGGCCAAGAGTTTGAGACCAGTCTGGGTAACAGTGAGACTCCTTCTCCACAAAAAATAAAAGTATTGGCTTAGTGGGGTGGTGTGTATCTGTAGTCTCAGCTACTCAGGAGGCTGAGGTGGGTTGATCGCTCAAGTCCAGGAGTTTGAGGCTGCCATGAGTCACGGTGGCGTCATTGCATTCCAGCCTGGACAGCACAATGAGACCCTGTCTCAAAAAGCAAAACAACAAAAACTTGTTTTTGTGGCAAAAATTTGATCCACCCTGGAGGCTGCTTTGTGTGTACTTAGGAAGACTGTATATTCTGTGTATACTGACTTCATATGGGAGAAGACCCTCACTATTCAGCATGGACAGATATTTTGGGGGCCTCTCAAATATTGTGCTAGTCCAAACCACCATCTTTGTTGTGACTGGTCCCCAGGCATCTAGAGAATGTTGGTCCCATCAGCGTTCTGAGACAAGTGAGATGGAAACCAATTCCTTGAGAACTCCCAGAAAAGTTGGAACAATGGACATCTGGTTCAACTCTTTCCCTTCCCAAGGAGAATGTAGGAGCTGGCAATTGTTTGGCCCACTGTGTCTGCACTAAATTGGGGAAGGGCTATGGTGAGTGCTTATGTGGTATTTCAAAATGCCCTCTTTGTTCTCAGTGACCCTAGGCATCAGGAATACACTGGGTTCTATCAATGCTCCCAACAGGTGCGATGGAAGCCAGTCTCTCAGGCAGTCTGTGGAAAAGCTAGAGTGTTGGATGTAATGTCCAACTCTTTCCCTCTCCAGGGAGAGGCTGAAACTGGGGCTTTCTTCTCATTTATGGGACACTGTGCTGGGGTAGGAATTAGGGCAAGAAGATGTCACAAACTTTCCTGCCATCTTTGATGTGGCTGGTTTCTTGATTATTCAGGGTGCTGGAGGCTCTCAACTAGTAACTGGGTTTTTCACAGGTGAATTGATTTATTTATTGCTATTGAATTGGTGTGTCTACTGGGGAAAAGAGGGTTAAGGGATTCCTGTTCTGCTATCTTGCTGATGTCACTTCTTTCAGAGACGGAGTTCTTACTGTTCTCCTCATGGGCTTCTTTGTTTGCTCTTCACCAGAACTGACCTCCTTTGGGCATCTAGCGGAATGCAATGTTCACTGTGGGCATGGTGGTGCCTGAGTGCCAGCAGGCAGCCCTGCAATGAGAGCCCAATTATATGATTTAAACCTTTCTTGACATTTCTTTTAGCTGTGCCTCTTAAGCAGTAGAAGGCTGGATATGTAAATCATTCAGATCATTTCTATATCTTAATAGAAAAATTTAGCCTTTTAAACTTATATATACATGCATTTATTGTGACAACTGGTATTTTTAACTTATCTTACTTGTCATGGTGACATTTGACATTGTAGAACACTCCCTTCCTGAAATACTTTCTTTATTGCTTTTTAGAAATCCCAATCTTTTATTCATTCTCCTCCAGTATTATCAGTTGTTCCTTCTCAGTCTTTTTTGCTATTTTTGTCCCCTCATTTATCTAATCTTTAAACATTGTCATGCCTCAGAAATTTATCCTTGGAACTCTCATTACTTTACTGCTGCCACCCTGATCCAAGCTACAGTCATCTCTTGTCTGGTTGATTGAAAGAAACCTAACTGATCTTCCTTCTTTCACCACTGTTCCTCTTCTGTCTATTCTCCATGCAGCAGGAGAAGTAGTCTTTAAAACATAACTCAGATAATTTCATTTCTGTGCTCACAACTATATAATGTCTTACCATCTCATGCAAATGAAAACCAAATTCTTTACTATAATATGCAAATCAATTTAGCTTCCTGCCATGTCTTTGATATTTGGCATCAGCTGCCACCTCCCTGCTTATTCCCTCTTTCCAGCCTCGCTGCACTTACTGTAGCTCTAACATACCAATTGTCTTCCTGCCTCAAGGTCTTTGCAGCTGCTCATTTCTCTGCCTTGTGTACTAGTACTCCAGGTAACCACATGGCTCATTTCTACACTTTATTCCACCAAATAGACATGCAAATATTTACTGAAGATTCTTTTTGAAATAGAGAAAATTAAAATACCAGGTGTTTCTCAGAGAATAGCTGTAGAAACTGTGATAAATCTATAAAATGGAATATTCAGAAGAAAATATGTTAACATCAATAGGTTATCCAGACATATAATTCGGTACCAAACACATTGTAAACTGCTGTGTGCTTGAAAGTTATAGTCAGATAGAAATTTAAACTATATATATAGAGTATGTATTCATCCATATGTTCCACAATATTTTTAAATTAATAATAAAAATAGGCTCCAACTTTTTTCTACATCTTTGTCCATTTACTCTTCTTTTATTTTCATTTAGTGAGGGTCTCCATTCAACTCCTAAGCCTATTTAGCCTCTTGATTTCATTCTGTTTTATCTTTTCTAGGAACAGACAACAATGATCATATTCTCCTCAAACCTTTATCTAACCATCCTTTGTTGTAAGAAATGTCTCCTTATTTCTGAGGTCATTTTGTACTTTTTGAGGTGCTACTTGATATATATAAAAACACACACATATACACATTTGTCTTTCCCACTAAACTGCAATGTCTTGTGAGTAGAGAAAATACCTTACTAATTTTTTAATTTCTTAGGATCTAGCACAAGATATAGCTTATAGTAGACTTCAATAAATTACTAAGGACTTATTCTGACATAAATTGGAGAAATCACATTAAAACTTGAATATGCAGTTTGACAAAAATATTTTAATACGGTAATCTCTAGTATATGGAATTTGGAGGAAAAAAGTTTACTTTTCTTAAAAAAAAAATCACCATAAGCCTGACAGTTTTTGCTCTTGACAATCTGTGGGCGGTTCTTCAGGAGAGAATTGGGATGGAGGCTCTGGGACTCCACAGATGAGCTAGTTGGCCTGATGGTTTCAGATCATTAGGAGGCTCTCCAGGCTTTACTCTAAATGAGGAACTTTTCCCTCAGTTTCTGAGATAGGTGACTCAGTGAAAAATTGAGAGCATCAGTTAGCAAAGCATCTGAACTAGGCATATATGAAATGGACAGGGGGAGTCTCCATTTACTCATCTGCAAAAATGTTCTGTGGCTGTGATGGGTGTCACAGAGATGGTCTCCCAGGAAGATTGATCATAGAAATCAGCAAGGGACATGATAAAGCTGGAAGCTTTGCAGCTTTAATTTTTATGACTCAAACTTCTAAAATATGAGTTTCTATTCTGACTTTGAAATTATTTCAATAATTTCCACCTCCTTTTATACCTCTTCTGAAACTAGAGAAGCAAGAAAAAGGAAATGAGAAGAAATGAGAAAAAGATAATGAAAATATTCAAAAAGAGGATAAAAGAGAGAAAAAGAAATAAGAGATAAGGGGAAGAGAAAGATGATACATTTAATTAATTTCAAAATGTGGCCTATGCCTCATATAGTTTCCGTGTTGCAAGGTTAAAAAGTTCTAGAGATCTGATGCACGACAGTGTGAAGATAATTACCACTACCGAACTGCACACTTTAAAATAGTTAAGATGGTCAGTTTAATGTTATGTGTTTTTTACCACAATAAAAAATGTGATCTCTACCTCTTGTTCACAGAGCAGGACTGGCAGATTGGGCTGCAAAGTAAATGGAGAAAGTGCTGGATAGGAGAAGAGAGATGGAAATAGGCTGGGGTAGCCATCATACACATGTGCTGTTTCTCTATCAACCAAAGTCTTGTTGGAGACATTTTATATGTTCATGATGACCACATGTCCTATGTTAACAGAATTCTCTTAATTTAATTGTATTGTATTTACTCCATTAAGGATAATTAAATTAATAATGCATTCAATGAGATATTCTTTCTTTGTGAGAGCTTTCTTACGAATGAGATCGTAATCACTTTTCAAATCACATGTCCTGATTTTTTGGCTAAGGAAATTGGGCCACTGAACCTGATAATTTTTTCAGGCTATACTTGATCCAGATGAGGTTCCCATTTGTCTCTGAGGTATCTTTTCCCTTTCTTCACTCCCCTCCCAGCATGTCCGATTACTGGGCACTTTAACTGGAGGCAATGCTGAGAGCTTAAAAAACCCAGACACTTCCGTGTCCCCAGTCAGCAACGCCGCACTCAGCAGGTACTGACACCAGCAACTATGCCAGCACACTGCGGGAAACTGGAGGAAATCTCATTGCTCTCTGATCTCATTGTATTCCACCTCATTTAAGTAAAAGCATATCTGTTACTTTCTTCTGAGCTATTTGGAGGCCAGAGAAGAGACTTTCTCAAGACAATTAGTTTTCTTTTTAGAAGAAAAGATATCTGCAGGGCAAGCTATCTCCATGACCCATAGTTTTCTGCTTTTAATCCTGGAGTTTCTGGCTACTTGACCCCAGATTTATATCTGACCCCAAAATGGGACACCTCACTGGAGTTCTCTCAACATAGCTTGACTGATAGCCAGAGAAACTCTTGGTTAAGGACTAGGGATTGGGGACATTTTCT